GTGGTAGAGATCAGTATGGTCGACAGAGAAAGGAAAAACTAAGCTAAAATGAGCAGTAAGACTAGCAGAGAAAGATTAAGAACGATGTGATTGTTATGGAGGATGGAAGGACATGGGTTTGCGGACAATGGGCTGAAGAAGAGAGTGATGAAATAGAAAAAATGGAGAGGGTTGATAAGGTTGAGTAGGTGTCTGTCAACACATGGTTTAAATATAGTGTCTGAACATCCACGCTCAGCTTTTCCCTCCTGTCGTCTGCCTCTGGGCTCCTCAGAGACCTGGAGAGTTGTCTATTTCACTGTCCCATGGAGGGAAAGCCAGTGGTGATGACTTGACAGAGACATTCTGGAGTTTGAGTATCTGTGTGAGTGCTGAAGAGGGCATCACGATACATTCACATACATGATCAGTTAAAATCCTCAAATTTCAATCAAGCCATGTGAGAAAGTGACTTCCTTTTTTATAATTTTGTTATTTATTGTTTACTGAATTTAATGTGGGTCCATGATTACTTAATATGAGAGCACAATGTGTATGCTAAACCTAAACTCATATCTGTACACTACATAAAGCTTATCATTATTATCAGTCTGATTTACAGGCAAAAAGAAAAACATCTCTCACACATACAAATGCATAAACACAAGTGCAGAACTATGATTCCCTTCTTCTTTAGTAATCCCCGGCTCCTCCATGCTGCGTGTCGAAGTATCCTTGGGCAAGATACTAAACCCCGAATTGCCCTTGGTGTCTGTTCCACCAGTGTATAAATGTGTATGAATGTTAGTTTTTCTTTGAGCACTTAGGCTCAGTGTATCAATGTGCGTGAATGGTGAATGTGATGTAGTGTAAAAGCATTTTGAGTAGTTGAAAAGACTAGAAAGGTGCTATACAAATACTGAGCATTTACATTTACATTTATTTCTCATTTCAAATCCAACTACAGGGGGTTGTTTTGGCTATGGCTCCAAAACTGTCATTTCCATCGTCACCATTCAAATCACGCCTAACCGGCCGCAGTATAATGATGGCCTTTCTCAAACTTTTTGTTTTGTTTGGAGTTACCAGATGCGATTCTCATTGTGACGGTGTGGGGAGAAAAAGAGATTTGCTTTTGAAGAGACAGCTTTGGCAGTAAATTGGAGAGGCAGGTCTTGTGGGGATAACGTGTGCGCGTGTGTGTGTATGTAAGAGAGACAGAGAGAGAGAGAGAGAGAGAGAGAGAGAGAGAGAGGGCAACAGAGAGAAAGTATGTGTGTATGTGCCAACAATTATTCAGTAATTGTTCATTCTGATGTGTGTGTGCGCCTTTCCATGCTTGTGTGGGTCTATACCCACATTTGTTGTTTGTGTGTGTGTGTGTGTGTGTGTGTGTGTGTCCTCCCCTGAGTCCTTTGGGCTTTCACTGCAGAGAAATTCAATTTCAGTTGTCACTCACCAATCAGCCTGCCTAATTCGTGGTCTGGACTACACCATGGTGTGTGTGTGTGTGTGTGTGTGTGTGTGTGTGTGTGTTAGTGGGCAATTTGTGCAATGTGTGTTTGTCATCTCAATACCTGCTCGGCATCCTGGCATAACGACCTCTTAAAATATGTGCTTATAATCTTTTAAATGCTCTTCTTCTGAAATCATAAACCAAATGTGATAGAAACAAACAGACGATTGTTGACACTACAAAGAACTTTGCCTCCATTTACACAATATGGGTGTCAAACTTTCCTCAGTGCTTATAGCAGTATCTGTCTTTATAGCAAGATCTGAACGCCAAAGAAGAGAGATTCCTCTGTTTCATTTAGTGCAGCTACTTTGTGCCCTTTTAATCCTTAAGCACACTAAACTTAGAAATAGCGCATCAACATGATAAATTGTAGAAGAAGAATAATAAAACTGCTAGTGGTCTGTAATTTCTTTCAGCAGTCTTACACACGATGTTAAACTTTTACTGGCAGTGTGTGTGTGTTTTGTTTTTTTAAATGCTGATTGGCTGCCTACAAGTGGGGACATAAAATTATTTATTTATTCTTGTCGTACTTTTCAGATCAGTGTTACAGCGTGCATTAAAGACGATAAAACAACAATTGCAAAATCAATAAAAATGACCAACATTAATTAGAAATGGGGTTATGGCTACATAAAATAGGGCGGCAAAAGAGGAATAAAACAGGAATAAAACAGGCAAAAACAAATCTAACTTATATAGCTCATAAAACTGAGGCAACAGAGACAGACACAGTCAGTGTTCATGACTATAGGTCAATGTGATGACCTGTAGTAATCTGTTAATAATATTATAATATTACATTCTATATGAAAAGTGCAATGAGATAACTGCTGTTATAAATTGCCGTTATATATTCAGGTGACTCCAAAGCATCCTTAATGATTTCGCAGAGATTTCTATAAAAATGAACAATAGTTTTCTTCAGTCCACCAATGACTGTGGTCAAGTTCAAATAATAAAAAAATGTCAAATATGACTTCTTGTGTGAGATGGGATGCAAACACTGCAATCCCTTTCTTTTCACTGACTACCAGGAGTGAAAGTAGATTGAAGTTCTTGCCCGTACAACTACCTAAACCTTCATAGCTTCATATTATTCTCCTCTGGCCCCCTTCCTGCAACCCTGAACAAATGAATAACATTTTTAATGCCTGAAGGTGTAGAAAGAAATAAGAAACACTTGTATGTGGGTTTTTGCATGCAGCTGTTGTCCCCTTTCCCAGTACTTCAGGACTAGCATTGAATCTTTTAGTGGTACAGAGTACTGGACAGTACCGGCTTACTTTCACTCCTGCTAACTACAGTGTTACTGATGAATGCAAGCAACTAATATAGATGGGTTCAATATTAATATAATGCCTAGGAGAAAGAATCACTACTTGTTATATCCTGCCTATAATGCCAGTTATATTTATAGCTTTATAACTTTCCAGAGATCAGGAATTTCTACACATAGTATTATCAGTATTTACCATACATACTCAGCATGACAATACAAATCATATACACTCAAAATTTTTGGCAGATTTTTGCATTTATGGAAATTGCATCTGCCCTTTTCTGAGATCTTACTCACTCACTTTGAATAAAACAAAAACAATTCCTCTGCTTTATTTCTTTACTTCTATTCATGGACTTCTACTTATCTTTTTTTTTTTTTAACTCTCTCCCTGCTTTTATTACTCCTCCTGTCTTTTGGTCCCTCACACTATCTGTTTTTCACATACCAGTTTATAGCCTATGAAATACCTTCAGCACTTTTATGCTTAGAACTTACTGCCTTCCCTCAGGCATATTTAGCCATCTCCCCCACTCCCCCCACCCCCACCCTCACCACCACTCATATTCTGAAGTCGCTTATTGAAACATAAGGCATGATGTGCAGAGGCTTTACAGGAGGTTTGCAGGGGTCAGATTCTGCCTCATTTGCATGTATACTATCACAGTGTAGTTCCTTGAGCCCAGAGGCAATATGGTATATTAGATGTATGGGTGCAGTAACCTGGATGACATGCTCAGAAAGTCTAGGTTGAAAACAGATCTAGAAATGCATACAGAACCAAGCACTGACTATATATAGATCAAAATGGTGTTTATTATTTTGTGCTAGTGTTTAGTATCTTTAAAATGAACATTTTCCAGAATGTTCATTTTCCAGATCCAGATCAAAACAAACACCTATTTCCAACATTGGATGTCACTGCTTCACTAGCTATTCCTTTTCCAAATCAGCCAAGTCGAATGTACTTATTTGACATTTTAAAAGCACAAAACCATTGTGTATCAAAGTGCTTTCAAAAAAGGTGCTTACATAGCAGAGAGAAAGAAGGTACAGCCTGGACATCAATGGCAATAACAAAACATAATGGAAATAAGGGGTAGTTAAAATCACAAAATAAGAGCAATAGAGCATAAATAAGCATGTCAGCTACATTGAAAAACCAATGAATCTGGTTCTGAGATGAGTTTTTTGAGTATTGACAAACAGAAGGCTACTCCACAAAGGCAGCGCAGTCACTGCAAAAGCCCTTTAACCATCAGTCTTAACAAAGACTGCCAAACTAAATAACAAATACTGTATGTCCTTCATCATTGCCTTCCAAAGCAGCACAGACTGTATGATTCACATGAAAAATTAATCATAAGGTTGAACTGCTTGGTTAAGGTTAGGGAAAGATGAAAGTCGTGGTTAAAAAACTCAACTTTTGGTAGGAAACAGAAAATGGCCCTTTTCCCTTCAAAGTTTGAAAGCTCTATAATACGTTAAATTACTTCTGCCTTTGCTGTTGACAAGCAGTGGGAATAACACATCCACTAGAGGTCCTTACATGTAAACATATGCTATATGTTATATATAAAAAAACTATGCTGAACCAAAACTTTTGGATGATGATGATGATGATGATAATGATAATAATAATAATAATAATAATAATAATAATAATAATAATAATAATAATAATAATAATTGGAGGTATTTCATTTCATTGTGCAAGTCTTAATTTGGACACTCAAATGATCACATAGGGATATTATATAAATAAATTAATCATTAAAATTTTCAACAAATTAGTGCATTCTAAATGGGTCCAGTAAAATAAGATTAGGATGAAAAAGAAAGGAAGGAAGGGAAAAAACATTATTACATATTTGTGGACATAACATTAACAACACTGTCAACAGAGAGCTGAGAGTAAGAAGTAACTAATAATATGTAACTTCATATTCATTAATAGTGTAAACCACCAATTGGATGAGATCATTTTAATTCAAAGGGCAGCCAACATCCACTTGATGTATTGGTGCATGCAACACATGTGTTCATAAACACACACACACACACTTGAACCTCTGTTGATTTTTTCATCACTCCCATGTTGTGTTACATTACTGCAAACCTCTAAAACCACATCTTATAGCTTTTTCACATTAATCCCCACATAAACACAAAACCATATAACACCCTGGCATTTTAATGACATACACACACAGCTCTTACCGGAGTGAAGTTCATGACTTTGAGGATCCAGATGGTCAGTGCCAGGTTGACGATCATGGTGACGAGGAGGAGGAGGATGAAGAAGTACAAACATCTCTTCCTCCAGCCGTAGATCCCCACTGCTGGGTAAACCTGAGTGCCACACACCGACGCCCCCCGCTGGTGGAGCGGGTTGGGCTGCGCCGCAAGGATATACTGTTCCTGGGTCATCTGAAAGGGGCACAGATATAGAGAATATATGTAAGAATTGCTTTTATGATAATTTTCATTAAGAGGAATTCATCTCTATAACACTTGCTAACTATTACTAACTATGCACCAATTTTGATTTATTAATTCTATATACATATGGAGACACTTGTCACAATGTGTCAACTGAAGTTACTTTAGTAGTTTCATTCACTTAACATGTCTCCTTCACAACTTCTCACTTTTTAATTTTTATTTTGGAGTGAAAAGCTGCAATTGTTCAGCTCTGCACAGATACTAGACAAGCAGAGAAGGAAATGATTCAAGACTAAAAAGAGAGAAAAACAGATAAAAACTGCATGTTTTTTTCTTCATCCAAGGCAAGGTTGAACTTTTTTGGTTTTAGTGGTGGGGAGGATGAAAACAGTATTAACCAGGTGAAAGTAAAGAAGAAAACTGAACAACATAGAAAAGTTGCGATAAAGATAGAGGTAACGTGTTAGAGAGAGAAAGACCAAAGCATGATAAAAATGAGATAGAGGTGGAACGGTGAAGTGGAGAGATAGCACGGCATCAAGTAGTAAGAGATGGAAAGGTGTGGGGGGGGCAGATAAGATGGCAGAGGAGGACAGAGTCCATTAGTTGTAGTGCAGCAGCAGAAGTCATTGGTGGCAAGAGATATGGACACTGGCTCCAAGGCACTACTATCTCTGTCCATCTCTGGCTCTCTAACTCTCTCACTCTCTTTACCTTGCACTCTCTACCTCAAATGTTGTCTCTCTCTCTCTCTCTCCCTAATTCACTTCCTATCTCACTTTGGCACCTCTCTCTCTCTCTTTATCAGTCTCTCTCTCACACACACACACACACATTATGTCTTTATTTGCTGAGACTGCATGACCTTAACACCTCACAGACTTGATTTTTTTTCTTCCTGCAATGCTTTTTCTCCATATAGTCTCATACGATGAAACCAACAAACCTTCATGGGAAACAAAAATGCTGACTCTTGCTTTGCCAGCAGAAAAAAAGAAAATAAAATTCAGACCTCGCCCGTTCAAGTTTTGTTAGGGTTTCACTGGAGTCTCAGAAGCAAATATCAACCTGTAATCTTTGTCTCCACATGACTCTTGTTCCATGTACACACCAAAAAACAAAGCCCAAGGTCTTATTGAGCTATTGATGTTGACTTAGCAAATCTGAACTTCTGTTAGGAGTTAGATTGTTGTTGTTATGGATATTGTGGGAATATAAAATCTGACAACAGATACTGTAGGTTTTGCCCACCATAATAATAGTCCCCCATCCTAAACAACAATAAAAATATACATTTTAATCTGTTTATGTCTTTGCCCCCAATCTTTTTGATCTGATATTAAGGCATTATTATTATGATTATTAATATATTTAAAATCATTTTGATGCTACAGTGACTTGTAATAGGGTGAATGGAGTCTCTGTCATTGGCACTCTGGGCTCAAGCTAGCTTGTTATTGTCAATATGGATGTCATGGCAGAGGAAGAGAAAAAGAGTGACACAAGCGACAGGACAAGAGTAAATATTGGATACTGGTTTTTACCCATTGGTGTAAGCTAAAAGAGGTGAAAGGCTGCAGGACTGATGCCGAATTGGTGTTCTGTCTGTTGGATTTAAGTAATAACTTATTAGCTGGCTTGCTACGTCTTGTGTTGTTGCGCTTGGTTGATGTACCTGTGTTAGCAGACTTGAGCAAAATTAGCCACAGACAGAGGTGTTGTCGCAAGCTATAAATATCAAGTTGATGTTAGCAAACTTAATAGATAACACACTTAAGCTGATGATACACGGGGCAACTTTTTGAGCAATGTTGCTGGGCAATCTTGGGGGAAGGGGATTACGCTAGTAATCTTTACTCATTACCATTGACAGCAACGTTGCCCTGCACGATTGCTCTAAAAGTTGCTCTGTGTATCATCAGATTTATTGTTGGTAACTACTGTAAATGCTCCTGCATCAGTTGCCGTCTAGCTTTGTTGGCTAGTTTGCCACCCAAGTTTCAAGCAACATTATGCTGGTGCTCGTGGATGAACCAGGCGAGCTGACAACATAAGCAGGCTCAGCAACCTCTATGGACGTAAGCTGATGGCAGAGGTGAATAGACAAAAGAGGATGTTGACGGAGGAAGATTAGAAGATAAAAAAGAGTGACCAAGCAAGAGGCTTCCGCTGGTGAGAGACAGACACCGATCTGGCATTCCTTCTGTGTACACAGCTTGATGTTTGGCTGTGTAAGCAAAGTTGGTGACTTGCTAGTTTTTGATGTAATGTAATCATAACAAATGCACGTGTTCAGCTGTCCTTGTTTATGACGACAGTAAATTACACAAAAAACAACAAAGAATCTTACATAATGTTGCTTTTACAGTATCTCAGAAAACTGCCACAGGCAAACTGAGGCTAACCTATCCCATCTTTCCATGTGACAATCCTAGAATATTCAACTAAAAGCTAAATGATCACACCCCAACACCACCAGTCGGACCAGTCCTACAGTGGGATGGTGTTTTATAGAATCTAACAAAGTGGTTTTTCCTTTACACTCTGAGCCATTTTCCGTCTGAATTAACAGAGATACTGGTTGACTGAACTGTGATAAGACAGAGCAACAACAAATCAAATCGAGGCGGAAATGCACCCAAGTTGCAATGAAGAGCCAATCAACCAAAACATCACCGGAGGTGCACAGACATACGTTTGGCTGCATTAACTATGAAGAGTGAATTCAATGGTTGAAACTTCAGCAGAGCAATATTTGTTAAAAATGGAGAACAAGAAAAACTCAGCATTTATTATCAGATTTAAAGGAGGTGATGAAAAGATATGATATATATCACAAAATGCTCTTTTTGGCAAAGGAAAGATGAAGCTACTTTTAATGTGCATACCAAATATGCATTTCATTTTTGGTCTAAATGCAATCCAATTAATTCATATCTAGGCACAAGCTGGATATGAGACACATATTAATGCCAAGCGGAAAGGGCTTAATGTTTGCCAAGCGGGATAATGGATTAATGATGTTTTCCCTTTTCACCACAAAGAAATGAACCTACAATATTCTTGTCTGGTTCATCTGTTTCGCTTTCTGGGTGCAGCTGTTTAGTGTGTGCAGATATAATGCATATAAATCAATAGTAGAGTATTGCTATTGAATAGAGCATTGGAGTGGGATCCTGATCGTTTTACCAGTATATCAGTATTCAGCGTCCACACTGAACCAATAACAAGAGTGTGTGCTGTGCCCTGTGCACTGCAATGCTAATACTTTTTCTTGCATGTATCAACAGTCAGAATAAATAGATGCACACATACATATATCTGTTTGTGTTAGTGTATTTGCGAGTGTGTGTGCATAAGTTTCCTTCAAGGGCATGTGAATAAGCCAAGGAACCAATGTAAGCACTACAAATCAAACTTTTTTTCTTCCTTTTTTTAAATCGACAAGTGAAATTGAATTATATAATTCAGTGTCACTTCTACATTGTGTGTGGTCAATTTTTTTCAAATACAGCTATCCTCACTTATGCTCTGTTACTGACTCATTCATTGTCTTGTGTGTGTATTTGTGTATTGTGTCTCATTTCACTCACAGCCATGCACAGTTATCAATCCAACTCAGCATCTTGACAAGATATTATTTTCTCATCCCCCACAGTTCCCCAATTTCATATGTTGTATTTATTGTATTTACTTTTTCACACAGACTTGTCAGAGAAAATGCCCCTCTCCCTGCCCTGTGCCAGCCTTTCTTTGCCTGTCACACCTCTCTATATATGCTTTATTTGTTTTGTTTCATTCTTCTTCCCTTCCATCTTTATTTGTCATTGTTATTTCTCAAACTTTTCAGTTACCCCCCCCCCCTCCCTTAATTCAGATATGAAGTATCTTTCTGTACACTCATTACCTTAACTTCACACTTCTCTCCATTTCCAAATTTCTACTGCTTCCCTCCTTAACTTCACTTCTTTCTCCCTCTCAGCTCTCATTCTTAACAATCTATTTTGTTGTCCCCCATTCGCCTTCCTCCTCCTCCCCCCCCCATTCCAATGCATTTCTTAGATTGAACTGACAACAGAATCATCAATCAATCCCATGGCGCACCAAAGCCCGGAGGCCCTGCACAGCATGACCTAACTTTATTAACATCATAATGTCTTGACAGCCATAAAAACAACAGCTACAAGAGCGATGTCACCATGGTTACCATCCACTGTGGTCTATCAATGACCTCAACAGAACTAATACTCTAAATGAAAGTGTATATATAGTACAGTACATAAATAGCGTGCTTTTCTGTTTTTTGGTGGTGTGGTGGTACATGTAGATGTTGATAAAGTGAATATCAGATCATAAGACAAATAACCTGAAATAAAAGAAATGATAAGACATTTAGTTCCAATAAATTTTAATTTATAATAAATATAATTTTTAACATGATTTGCCTGATTATGGCAAAAGGGAAAGCCCCTGAACCACATTTAGGACCAATATGCAACACATCTTTAAATCTTTTTTTCAACATTTTAAGTGTATTTATCTTTCACTACATGATTGGTTACAGTGATAATCAGGGTAACACATAAACAAAATTACACAAAATCAAATGTCAACATGATGAGTGGTTAAAAGTCATCCAAATTCAGGTAGTGGACACACAGCTGTACAACAAACTCAGCTCCTTACTTTTATGATTGGATGGTAAGAAGATGAGATGAGATAAACAAGAAGAAGAGCAGGATGGAAGAAAAGGAAGAGAGCAATACACAAAGCAAAAGCACAAAATAAACAGCATTACTTTAGTTAAGCTAAGAGCTAGTAACATGAGATGAAAGGACAGGAGAAAGGAACGGGAGAGATTACTTAAAAGTTCCTTTAATCTTTCAAGCAGCTCCATTTCACTTAAATTATTTTTCAAATTAATTATAACAAATAGGCAATCACAAATGTGCCCTCATATGACAAGTCACAGAGCTTCTTTGCAA